TTCTCATTGTCAGTTCCCCGTTTAGCTCAGTTGGTTAGGTTGTTAGGTATATACTTCGGTCCCGGGTTCGAATCCTACTCCTCCCAAATTTATTTTCAAAACTTTCTGCGAAATGATAGGTTCCCAAAATAGAATAAGGCAAAAGAAAAATTTTTTTATTGAATATTTATTTATTATTAATATTATTATTTGAATATAACTTGCCTTACCTTGTAAGCTTACCACAACCTTACCTCAACCTTACAACTTAATAATAACCTTACCACAGCCTTTACTCATAAGCTTACCTCGACCTTACCGTGTAAGCTTACCTCGACCCTACCATGTAAGCTTACCTCGACCCTACCATGTAAGCTTACCTCGACCTTACCGTGTAAGCTTACCTCGACCTTACCGTGTAAGCTTACCTCGACCCTACCATGTAAGCTTACCTCGACCCAACCATGTAAGCTTACCTCGACCTTACCGTGTAAGCTTACCTCGACCTTACCGTGTAAGCTTACCTCGACCCTACCATGTAAGCTTACCTCGACCCAACCATGTAAGCTTACCTCGACCTTACCGTGTAAGCTTACCTCGACCCTACCATGTAAGCTTACTGTAAGGCGGACATTTTTGGTTTACTGTAAGTCTACTATGGGCTTACGATGTTACCTTACAAACCTTACATGTAAGCCTGCTGTAGGCCTGGTGTAAGATGTTGTGCTGTGTGGGTGCTCTTGTGAAATAAAAAATCATTTAAGAGCTTAAAAGATCAAGTTCGACTTGTTACTGTGGTAACTTTTTCGACTTTCATGAGCATATTTTTTTCAGCGTAAGAGGAAATCATCTAAAACTCATGATAAATGAAACTTTTGATGATGAAAAATATATTACAATCCGAAAAAAAAACATGTGCCCTTAATTAAATCCAAATGGCAACAATTCAAAAAGTGTTACTCACATTTTTCAATAACTGGAAGTTACAGAGATTTTTTCATTTTGTGCTTTCAGCGGTAAAGCAATTCAAATTTTTTTTTAACGAGTTTATTGCTGATGAAAAAACGAATAAATTAAGACCTAATTAAACCGCGTGTCCTCAAAAATAAAGATAATATATTATAATAATAATTATGCCAATACCTTCAAACGTGAATCACTTTAAATTTATACATTTTTTTATTGCACACGCACAGCTTAAAAGATAATTAGTTGAAACTTTGCGGGAACGGTAGATATTATTATTAATATTATTATTTACAAACGCTAACTATGTGTTCCAACTAGAACAATAAAAAAATGTAAAAAATTCACAATTTTTTGAAATTTTCATGGTTAAAAGAATCGACATGAAAATAGGTAAATTATTGAAAACTTTAGTAGTCTTCATTTGTTTTTCATTGTGAAATATGAATTTTTGACAAATAAAATTTTCGAAAAGTTTTTTATTTATAATTCTTTCAGCATTAAAGAAAAATCGTTCACTCAAAAAAATTATAGTTCCTGAATATATTTCTAACTAATGGATTCATGAATAAAATGAGTGCTCGTAGTTTAAAAATTTTCATATTTGTGTCATTAAATCGTACGGTTCCGTGGATTTGCCCATATACATTAGGTAATTTCTCACCTGTGAAGAAAAAAGTTTATGAAGTTTTCCTCTTTTATATTATTGACTATTATTGACAGTTCATTTTTTATTTCTTTTTATAATATAAAAAATAGACACATTGGTGTATATAGAGCAGGGTTGGGTAATGATGCGCATAGAAACTTTCTGATTGGCTCGTAGTATTTCCGGAGACATTACGAGCCTATTGGAGACTTTCTTTGCGCGTCATTATCCAACCTTGCTTCTGTCACATATAATAATTTTTATATACGATCATATCAGTTTGTCTGTTTCTATTTGTTAATTTAAATAAAAAGAAAATATTTTGACTTCTTTTCTAATATACCTAATATACATAAATTTAGAATTTGAAACACCTATATTTATTTTTACTCATCGTTTTTTAGTGATATTTTTATAAAGAGCCACATATATAAATAACGAACTTCCTAATGAAATTTTAAGAGCGATTTTATTCATTTCCTTAAACGAAATTTCCACGCGTATAAGAAACCTAATTGTTTAAAATATTACTTTATCAAGTTTGTGGAGGGTTTAATCCCACAAGTGCAAAAGCTCGATGGTAATATATTTGGTATATTGTACTCGCGTCATGAAGTAAGGAACGGCTAGCATCTTAATATCGCGAGGAAGGATTAAGAAGGAGACTCGACTAAGAATAGGAGGATCACCTCGGGATTCTAATTAAACGGAAAACAGCTTCATTAAGTTGGTAACTACCTCAGGCCACACACTCCTGTACTAAACTGGCTTGCAGCACTTCTCCCTTCTCGTATCTGAAACAGACTTTTGCTTAAGTTCTGCTTCACATATATGTATGTATATACATACATGTAAGACACTATGCCATTATGTTACAAAACATCTTTCAATAGTGTTTTACTCTTCATTTACTTGTACACATTTTCGAAGAACATTACTAATTATTTATAATTTATGATTATAAGATTAATTTAAACAATATTAATTCATAACTTCAGTAACCGTGAATTTTAGATTGACTAAACTCGCAGTTAAATGTTTACTAAAATGTTAAGAGTATCGAACGATCTCTGAAATTCTTTGGCATATATTTCATTATAACCCTATAAAATTCTTTTTTCTCGAAACGCGGACTCTTTTTACAAAATCATCAGCCAAAACACCAAGGATCCTTATCTTATAAATTTCTTAAATCCGAAAGATTGTAAAAACGAAAAGTAGGAAAGTAATATAATGACAGCCTTATTACGTCCTGCATCCGTTAGGTGGCAGAAGCATGCCAGGAGCACAATGTCTCAGCTGTCATTCAGTTTTCTCAGCTCTGAGTAGCGAAGCAGGTAGGTAATGCACGGAAAAAAAGAAAAAGTAATTTTTACTACTTTCATAGTAAAATGGGATCTGTCCGAAGTTTCTGCGCATCTATGGCAACTTTTACTCCAAAAATAGTAAAATTTGCTCCAGAAATAGTAAAATTTACTCCAGAAATAGTAAAAATTATTACAAAAATAGTAAATTTTACTATTTTTTGAGTAAAAGTTTCCAGAGATGCGCAGAAACTTCGGACAGGTCCAATTTTACTATGAAAGTAGTAAAAATTACTTTTCTTTTTTTCCGTGTGGCGTCGCTGAGGAAGTCCCTTTGTGAATTTATGATTTTACTTATGAAGAAAAGGAAGGACTAATGTATGGTGCAGGAATAGCAAATTAAAATGTAAACACTTTAAATGATTTTTTTCTTATCATAATTTTCAAATTTTCGATACTTTCTTTCAAACGCGTTTTTTTCGAAACATGATTTTTGAAATTGCTGTGTAGAGCTTAAAATGTTATTGACCGATTTCAAAAAAAAATTTCAAATTGTTCGTTATTAAATTTATTATTAAGTGAAGTAAACGTTAGAAAGAAGAAAAAATGTTATACCTTTTTTTAATCACAAAGACGCAAAAAATAGGCCAAAAATTAACTTGAAAGTAGTGTCAATTTTTAATACTTTTACTTAAAAGTTAGTTCAATTAATAATAAAATGTAAATAACCTTCATTTTTTGCTTTTAGATCAAATTTGTGGACTCCACCTTGCACAGCAAATATAAACTCTAGACAGCGCAGCTCCTGGTTTAATGGTTGCTAACTTGGAATGTTTTTAATTAAAATGCTTAAAAAAAATTGTGAGGCACAGATAAATATATGTGCAACATAATGTCATTCTTGCATTTTATTTTTAAAAAATTTATCCCTTTAAAAAAAATTCCAACAAACGGCTAAAAAAACAGCGTCCTAATGTGGTTTCCCCCCTTAAATTATTATAGAAAAATAAGTTTAAAAAGACATATTTTTAAACTAAAATGAAAACAAACATTGCGGTGCGTACACAGAAGTCACGTGAATGTGTCAGTGCTTTAGGAGGCAGCGCCAATGCTAGCTAGTGACCGCTGAATGAACTAAAAAAACACAGTTTATTATTTCCTGCTTTAAGGCCAGGTCCAAGTCGTGTCAGCTGTTCCATTGAAACTTCAAAGAAACAACTGACTCGACTTGGACCTGGCCTTAAGGTGCTTTTATACCTCCAGTATTTTGGTCAAGCAATCGGCTGGATTTAATTTTCACGGCTGTATCACTGAATTTAATAGGCTCTGACTAATATTTCATTTCCACCGTGAAAATGGAATATTTTTAGAGCCAATCAAATTCAGTGATTCTCCGTGAAAATTCAATCCAGCCGATTGCTTGACCAAAATACTGGAGGTATAAAAGCCCCGTTATTTTTATCATTTTTGCGTTAAATTATAGAAAATGAGTAGAAAAGCGATGTTCTCTCTAAATCTGAATCAGTAGAAATTTTACTAATTCAATCAGTACTTTTCATTATAACTGAAGTTTCAGTTATTTTTTGAAATTTACTAATATAATTAGTGAATATATAAGCAGTAGAAAATAACTTATGTAAATCAGTAATTTGTATATAACATAACCTTTCAAATTAACTGTTAAATCAGTAGATTTTGCAGCCGCTGCCATATGTTTATATTACTGATTCAATTAGTAATTCATATTTTACTAATTGAATCAGTAAATTTCTACTAATTATCAGTTGCTCAATTCTCGCTATGACAATTAGTAGATTTCTACTGCTAATCAGTGAAATATGACTGATTCAGATTTAGAGAGTTCCTTGTGCCCTCCTCTATTATTTCTAAAAAAAATTTAACCCCAAATCCACTGCCTTTACTATTCCTTCATTAATAGGAATTCCTTTATTGCCAAAATTTTTTTAAAACAAATTCTCTATCTATAAAAGGATTTTATTTTACTTTAAACAAAATAAAATTTCAGTGATTAACTTTTGTCAAATGTCATTTTATTATAGAAATATCATTTTTAAGCTATTGAAGTATATCCTAATGCAGATATATAAATAAAATATAGTGGAAAATTGTTCTCATAAATTATCGTGAAAGTGCATCTCTCTAAATTCATTCGTGACAACACAGATGGAGAAATGAACATTTGAATGGGGGTAGAGAGAGAGAGAGAGAGAGTTATGGGAAGAGAGATGTACTATGGCTGCTGGTAGAGTATGAAGAGAAACACGGAGTTTCTCGGTAAAGCTTCGTTACGCGTCCATTTGCCGTCAGCTGAAAGACACCAATTTATAATTATTGCATTCAATAGTGCCAGCACCGCACTCGCGACGCCAACTCTCGATATTACCAGCTATTGTGCAGTTTAGATTCTATGCCCTCTCCTCCCATGTTACCTCTCGACCACTCTCAACGGGGTCCACCCCCGTAACTCCATCCACCATTTCACCGACTTTCTCTCCTCCACCTCGTTCTCTGGCATTTCAGAATTTATAAAATGAAACGAAAATAAATACATTTCTTTGGTTTCTCTCCTTTTGTTTGTTTAAAGACTTTTTTTTATTATTACAGAGAACAAAATACAGCTTCCAGACAAAGGACCCTAAGACTTGATACGGAGTAACTTATTTCCATTGTCTAGATAAACAATATATATTACAACAATTGTTTGTAGACAAAATTTAATTTTAAATAATATCCTATATATATAAGTATAGGATTTATTTTATTTATAAATGTAGTCTTTGAGATTTAATTATAATATTAATTTAATGAATATTACAATGAAATGTTTTCTAATGAGAAAAATATAAAAGTAATTTTTCCTTGAACAATTCAATATCAAAAGACTGAATTATTTTTGCATTTTTCGGTTTTCCCGTAGAATTTCGATAATCAACAAGAACTGATCCCTTTGCAGCACCATCGAACACTGGTGTAACATTCGTGATAATAGATTTTTTAATTAAATTAGGCCAAATTGCTATTGCAACAGTTACAGTGTCAACTGATGACCAACTTTTTGCTTTAGGCATATAAATTGCTTCAACTTTATTTAAAAATTTTACCGAAGATGAATTCAATTGGCCAAAAACTTCTGTCCTCCATTTCTAAAACAACAAAAAAAAAAGTTTTTAACTAAAATGTTAAATAATGGATAATTTTATTTTTACGATTAGAGAAATTTTAATTAATTTACCTTATCAATCCGAGAATTAAGAGCAGTATCCCATGGAAAAAGAATACATGGTTTCTTTGTTGAGTTCATGACTATAAAATTGCTTTCAGGGTCAATTGCAAAATTAAATTCAACGTTAGGCATTTCATTTCCTATGCCAGCAACGCTTGATCCCATTATGATTAATTCACCCACATTTTCAATGAATGCTGATTCAAGTCTCGTGGCCAGAGCTAAATTTGTCACTGGACCAAGTGCAATTATAGTTACTTCTCCTAAAATTAATTTAATAAGCCCGTTAATTGTGTGTTTATTAATAAATTATTGCATGTTCTTTAATAACTAATTATTTAATAATAATTATTATATTAATTAGGTATCTAATAAATAATAATTAAATTTAGCCCCAGTATGTGTCTTAAATTAAATAGTTAATGGACTTGTTCCATTTATAAATTTATTTCAAGTCTAATATGTAGATTTTTTTTATGTTTGAATTTTAATATGCAATTGTATATTTACCAGGATGCAATTTGATTAAATTAATTAAAGCCACAGCTGCCAATGAAGATTTATCAACTTTTGCTATAATTTCCTCTGTAAATTCAAAATCACCAAGTCCATCATTTCCAAAAAAAGGAATACCCTTATAATGGTTTATTAGTGCTCTTTCTGCACCTCCATAAACAGGAATCTGTTTTTTCAAACAAATGAATTTATTTTTTTTATTAAATACGTTACCGTAAATTATTAATAAATAAAAATATTATAATGATTAACGCAATAAGAACCAAAAAGTATCCTCCATTCATTTGTTATTATATCGGATTTGAATCGTCACAAAGTGACCTGGATATTATATAATAGTTCCACTAACATTTCTATAAAAATATCTTTAGAATCTACATTACCCCAGGCGGAAATTTCCAACTGGCGCGGATTCCAGCCAGTACCGACGTCGGTATGACTGTACTGGCTGGGATCCGCCTGCCAACCGGCTAGGTATACAGGCATTATACCGAAAAGTGACTTGACCAGGAGCGCGCTGGCAACCGGCTCGGTACAGCCATTCCTACCGTCCGGGAACCGGCAGTAAGGAGTCGATGTATTAAGAATTCAACCGGCTGGGAACTGGCATTGCTCTGACTGCGGATTTTCGTTCTATAGATTTGAAACTTATTGATATTTTTTATTATGTATACATTTGAAAAATCCTATCGCTTGGGGGTTCAAACCTACGCTTATAATCGAATATTTACGCACCGAAATCACGCACGCTAACCACTACGCTAAACTCGCATGGAACTTTCAGATTGTAAATGCGTTCTTGAAGTGTTGCCAGCTTGAATAAAAATTTAAAAATTCTTACGCCGTAATGAACATTTTTTAAATACGAACTGATGTTACAGGTATATTTTAAATATTTTATTCAATGTATACAGTAAAACCCCGTTTATCCGAGCTCGCTTTATCCGAGGTCTCGATTATCCGAGGTGGTGTCCCACTAGGAAATTCTGTATTATCTGAGTCTAGTCTACTTCATCCGAGTTATTTTTAATTTTAGTTTTTTATAAATATGAGTTTATTTTTAATAAATTCAAATTGTTTAAATTATTATGAAATATATACAATATTATGTTCCCGTTTGTAATAAATAATAATTGTTTAAACAATAATAATGTTAAATTGTAATAACAATTCGGATTATCCGAGTTTTCGCTTTATCCGAGGTAGGTCCGGTCCACATTAGCTCGGATAACCGGAGTCCTACTGTATTTATGAATAATTAAATATTTTGCCTAAAAAAAGTTTGTTATATTTTTATCATTCTATTTTTTTAATACATAATATTTCAAATATTTATTCTATTAAATAATTTTAGTATGAATTTTATATTGTGTAACAATTTTCAAAAACTAGAATTCATATATAATTAACCGCACAATTAGGTTTTTTAAACTAATGTAAAATAAATAGATAGTAAATATAAACCTCAATTAATTATATATTTGACATAATTATTAAAGCTAACTTTACTACAAAACAATTTAAAGTTTAATTTAAAAATTAAATTAATTAATAATTAATTTGTAAATTATTATTTAAATAATTATATATTTATATTTACCATTATTAATTAAATAATAATATTATAATTAAATTAATTATTGTAATGATTAAAATAAATATATATGATTACACAGAAAAACCTAATAATTACTCAAGAAAACCTATATATTTGTCCTTATTTGATGAAATATTTTCTTGATCCAAGAAAATTTTATTCGTTTGAAGTAAATTTTCTTGGATCAAGAAAATTAGGAACTGCTTTTCTTGATTCAATACTATTTTTTTGCAGTGAACTGATAATGGGAATTATAATATAATAATTATTGTTGAGATCTGCAAGTCGGATCCGCCTCAGTACCGAGCCAGTACAGATTTAACATCCGGCATTCTTCCGACGCCCCGTAAAAAAATGAGATCTGCAGGCGGAACAAATCCAGTACCCCGACAGTACTGACGATTGTACGAAGGCGGATCCGAAAGTCGGAGCTGAATTTGTACCGCGTGGTTTGTATTTTGGGATCCGAATCGGTACAGACCATCGGTACTGGCGGTCTGTACGGGTGCGGTTCGCATTCAGGGCGCACTCACACCTTTTGGCTGCCTGCCTGCCTGCAGGAATTGTCATGGCAACATGTAGGAGTAACAGAGAGAGAAAATTCAAATTTGAATTTACTATCTCTGTTACTCCTTCACGTTGCCATGACAACTCCTGCAGGCAGGCAGGCAACCAAAAGGTGTGAGTGCGCCCTTAGGCTTCATTATATACTGATTCATCTATACCAAACAACACTAAATCTACACCGAACAAACGATATTCTAATTTTAAGAATTTTCAACTTATTTTAAGAATATGCGAGACTTAAATAGGCGCCACGAATATATTCTTAAATTAAGAATAGAATCTTCTTATATTAAGAATATTTTCTTAGAATCACTTTTTTAGAATATAATCTTAAAATAAGTATATTTTCTTCTTGTATCAAGAAATATACTTCTAGCAGTTTTAAGAATACTTTAAACTTAATTATCAAATCCATAGTAAGACCTCTCACTCTTTTCATGGTGTTTATATTATTACCTACACACAACACACAAATATAAATAATAATATAAAACATTGCAAAATAGAACAAAAAAAGCAGAAAACAACAACAACGTTAGAACACTCGTCTTTATCGATGCTACACTGAAAAAGCAATCGATAACAGCTATATAGCTATATACACGTTGTTGGATCGTGGCGACGACTGCATACACGCTTGACAGTTTTCGCGGCAAATAGAGGTAATGTTGACCACTTTTGGTAATCAACATTTAATCAAAAAAACTATAATTATATTAATAAAATAATTGCACGACGACTCGTTAGTCAATGGCGACGCGAACAAGCTAGCAGCACGTCAATTCTAGCGCATATTCTTGTTTTAAGAAGAAGAAGATTTAGTACATAGAAAATATTCTTAAAGTTAGAATCTGCTTAAGAATATTATTAAGAATATTTATGTAAGAATATAACATTCTTAAAACTAGAATATTTTAAGAATATTTTTAAGAATATTTTTTTAAGAAAATAATAATCTTAAAACTAGAATACCTTTTTTTCGGTGTATTATCTAAATAAATGATATTCTTATATTGACATTATTTTTCTATTGCAAAACTTGTGCAACAGATTAACTATCTTTTGTCCTTTGAAGAAAGACATTGGTAAGCAAATTAAAAATTGTTTATATCAGTAATAGATAATGTAGTACTCGTTTCCTTATGTGTGTAATCTTACAGTATCAGTTACTCACCAGCCTCGTCCCAATTTTAATTGTCATGGGCTTTAGGCATATATTATTAAAACAACACTCAGAAAAAAATTTGTTTGAAACAATTGCATTTAACTAAAATTATTTATTTTGATCGAATGTCTTAATGTAATATTTTTAAATACGCATTTATTGGAATGAACCAAATTTTTATTTGAGTTAACTAAACTTTTTCATTGTGTCAAACAAAATAGGTTAATTTATCAACTATTTATAGTTAAGTCAAATTAACTTTTTCTCTCTGAGTGTAAAATATTGAAATACATTAATACAAAATAATAAAAACTCAAGTTGAAATTTAAAACAAATGTTTCGGTAATTTTTTCTTTGTTACTTACATCAGCCCTTTTTGCAACAGTTAATATTTTCAATACATTTTTTTCGACGTTTTTTTCCTTAGTATTACCATGTGTACATGTAATTGCAATTATTTCTATTTCGTCCTTGTGCATTGCTTCATAATTTAATGCTAAAAGAATTGCTATAGCATCATCACCTCCTGCATCCGTATCGATAATGAATTTTCTTGGTTTTTTTAATTGTGTGATGTGTGGACTTGCGTGACTACAAAGAAGAAAACGGACAAATTCTTTACAATATGATTATAATTTTATATTTATTTAGATAATTAATATGTAAGTAAATATTTTCATAAATAATAATTAGATAAATAATTATTGACATAAATAATATAAGATTATAATTAACATAATTAATTATTAGAAAATTATTCATGTAATAATTGATAATTAAGTAACTATTTTTATAATTAATAATAAGCTAATATTTGCAGAATGAAAAACTAAGAAAATTAGTGGTTCTGATTGAAATTTTTGTTTTATAGAAAATTTATGAATATCCAATGAAAATCTTACCTGTTCAAAAATGTTGACAGTAGATATAAAGAAGCTATCAGTAACGAGTTACTGGTTCTCATTTTATAGATATTATTCCGTAATGTGCTGAAACACAAAAATTATATAAATATGTATTTTTTAGTATACTTATAAAAATTTGTTAAATTGAAACAAATTTTATAAAGCATTTTTTAATTTAAATTTAAGTCAAATTTTTTAAATTTATATGCTTTCACTTGTACGAATTTTTAATCATACCAAGTTTTTAATAATGAAAAATTTCCATAGAAACTAAAACCTTTAATAATAATAAGTGACTTTTAGAATTAAAAAATATCACAGACTGACTTCTTATATTTGATCATTATGTTTGAAAGTGAGTTTAACACTGTTGTTATTTCCCACCCTTTAAATTTTCTTGATCAATTGTTTTTCATAGTTATATATACAGTTCATATAAGTATCTATATCTGAGAATTCTATTAATCGTCGTCTGTATCACTTCTTAGATGAATTGAAAAATAAATAAAAACTGGTACAATAATTTATGGAGACCTTTTTTTATAACAGGAAATATGCGAGATTGTATAAAGAATATAAAAATATAATGTATAATGTAACGAAAAGATAATGATCATTAATAAATAAAGATAGCATATCTTTCGTTAATTCAGGTTGCAATAATTAATAAACAAATTTTTTTTCTGTTTTTATTTTAATTTTTGTTTGTTTATTATTTTTTTCATTATTATTTTGGGTTTACTTTATAAAAATAGATTAAAAAATTTTTAATTAAAAATAATAAAAGAAGGACAAATATTAAGTGATACCTTAATCTAAAAATAATTAATGCAAATATAATTTAAATGTAATAATATTTAAAATGTTAGAATATAAATTGTGATGATTTAAATTATTACGTGAGCGTAGGAGGAGAATTATTTTAAAAATTAACTTTGCACACAGTACTGATGCTAAAAACAAGAAATTTTCAAGCATTTACATACTAGAATTTAAATATTATAATTAATTCTACAAATGATCTCCTACTTATGATAATATTTTTCTTTTTATTCCACCTAGATATCAAAATATAAATAATTGTGCGAAATACCATAAAATACGTGTGTATATATTAGTAATTACAAAAGACTAACTTGTTTGTACCTAATTCTTTTGTAGCATATCAATATTTTTAAAAAAATGTCAGTTTAACAACTTTTATTTTTCATTACTAAAATAAATAATAATAATAATAATAATAATAATATATAGTATGAAGATATCGATCACTCCGAGTCAGGTAATAAAAGAAAACACAATTTTTAACGTTTTCAACGGCTCAGCCGTCCTCTTCAGAAAACTAAAAATTTGTTATTACAAAAAAAATAAAAAATAAATATTTTTTCACAATCATTGTAGAAGATTATTAAGAACAATAAAAAAAAATCGGACAAGTGCGAGTTACACTCGCATTAAAACCGAGGGTTCCGTACCCTTAAACCTAAAATTTAAGGGGTTAAAGTGTGAAGGCATGTGGAAAAATTCCAATTTTGTTTAATTTTTCCTGTAATGTGAGCATAAAAACACATAGATAGACACATAGTCACATATAACGAAAATTATCAGTTTTTCCTTAAAAACGCTATGATTATCAACTCCAATCATGCTCACTATATTTTTTTTGTAATCTATACGTAAAAATACATAAAAATGTATAAGTTTGAAGCCCATTAGATAATATTTTCTTTGTTTTTTGAAGAAAATTCATGATTTTTATAAAAAATTATCAGTTTTTTCTAAAAAACTCTATGATAATCAACTCTAATCGTTCTCGCTATTTTTTTTGTAATCTACACGTAAAAATACGTAAAAATGTATAAATTTGAATTCCTTAAGATAAAATTTTCTTCTTTTTTTATTCGAAAAATCCATGATTTTTTCTAAAAATATGAGTTTTCCTTAAAAACAATATGATCATCAACTCCAATCGTGCTCGCTATATTTTTCCTGTAATCTACACGCAAAAATACGTAAGTATACCAAATATGAACTATCTTGGTCAAATAGTGTGTGCGCTAGGTGGATTAAACGCTTTTTTTCAAAATTTTTGATTTTTCCTTGACAACGCTATGTAAATTGATCCGAATCATGTTCGCTATATTTTTCCTGTAATTTTCACGTAAAAATACATAAGTGTACCAAATTTGAGCTCTCTATGGAAAAAGATGTGGCAACCAGAGGGGGGGTACATAGTCATTTTCAGGGATTTTTCGTAAAAATTCATGGTTTTTCCTTGACAACGCTATGATAATCAATTCCTATGAGATTCGCTATATTTTTCCTGTAATCTACACGCCAAAATACATATGTATACCAAATTTCAGCCCTCTAGATAAATTCGTGTGGCCGCTAGGGGGGGGGGTACATGCCTTGCTTCACTAGTCTCATTAATAGGGTTCCCCCTTCGGGTACGGAACCCTAATTATAAAAAAAACCTTTATCATTGGAAATTAAATAAATAAAATTAAGATAATAATAATTATAAGAAAACTTTTAAAATTGTTAAATTTTAAAATTCCTGTCGGCGCACGACGTATAATTTGACACTGATCGAAAATTCAATAAATACAATCAATAACATGTAATTCTGAGGTCGTTAACCTCAAATCAATTAATATAAATAGAGAAAGACTAAGTAACAGTATAGTCAAACAAGAATGAGTATTGTGAATATTTTCTATCGTTAAGGAAATGAGTGTAACAATTACTAAGATTCTGAATGTCATCTTTTTTATTGATTGCACTTTTTTGTAGATTAATGTGAATCATTTCTGAAATAAGTCGTTTATTTTCATTTGATTCATTGTCAAGAATATTAAAATTGTCCCAGTCAAAGTCATGTTTTAGTAAGTTTCTATGTGTTGCGGTAACACCCACTTTTGATTTTTTATGTTCATTAATCCTTACTCCCACCATTCTCTTTGTTTCACCAACATAAGAAGCAGGACAATTCATATACAGTTCATACAGTTAAACTACATTGGTATTTTCAGATTTTTTATTTTTATCTTTACCTTTCTTGATCAAATTATGGTTCAAAACTCTATTATTTACTGGAACAGTTCCCAATCAAAAATTTACTAATGGCGCAGTAATGGCGCAGTACTGACAAATACTGGCGCAGTACTGGCATCCAGTATTGGCGCCAGAGTTGGCGTAACTTTGGGATGATAACATTTTACCAGTATTGGCTACCAAAGTTGATACCAGTGCTGGTAACCACTGCTGGTTCAGTACTGGCCGAGTACTGGTACTGGTTTCACTCCAGGTAATACTTTATTGGTATACTTAGGAAAAAGTGTCTGAAATTTTTAGTAACCCAACACAAATTAAATATTAATTAAATTAGTCAACTAACTAATTAATATTTTATTATATAAAATCGAAAACACAAAGAATTTTCATTCCTTCTTATAATATATATTGCAAATTATTATTTTAAAAAATCAAAAAATAAATATTAAATTATGTTTATTATAAAACCAAAGTTTTTATAATATATATAAAAACAGTTCAGTAAAAATAAAAATGTTTATAAAATAATTATAATGTATATAATTATGCAATTAACTATTTTATTATTTTATTATTCTCTTTAATTTATTAATTATTATATCAAATATAAATAAATTAACATTGAATTCAATTCAATTTACATAAAACAAAATTAGTTTACAAATTAACTCATCACAAATATAATGATTTAATAAATAATGAATACTGATTTCCTGAAATTAGGTAATTATTAAAAAAATTATCTAAATTATTTTTAAATTAACATTAAATTTTTATTTATAATTCACTTTTGGAAGAAACTGAAGAATTACATCCAGAAACAAATTACAATAATTTTATTGATCATTGAAATATATAAGTTTGTAGGTTTAACTATTTTTTATAATTCCTATTAAGAAAGGTTAATTATATATTTTATATTATTGATAATATAACATTTGTGCAATTTTACTTGAGATTGTATTTAATTTTTTTAATTAAATTTATATTATAAATTTTATTTTAAAAAATATTAATTTTTTATAAACAAATTTTTTTTATTTTTAGATAGACTGTCTATCGTACAGACGTCTATTCCTCTCTTCAAATGAATTACTTGAAGAAAATTCTCTTTTTTATTGTTTCTGAAGAGGGCAGCAGTGCTGCTGAAACGTAAAAAGAAATAGTTTTGTTTTCTTTTGTTCGCCTTGACTCGGAGTGATCGTTATCTTCATGTTTTTTATTATTTATTTTTAGTTTGATCGTTTAAAAATTTTTTTGGTTTATTGCATATCTGAAAACAAAAAAGAAAATCTTGCAAAATGTTTTAGACTTGGTCTCAGAAAACTTTTTGTTTAAATAATTTTACCCACAGAAAAGCAAAATAAAGTACATTTTAATAAAATTTTGATTCTCTCACTCGGTAGTATTTAATAATATAAGAAGATGATATCGATCATTCCGAGTCAAGGATTAAATAAAAAATAAAAACATTATTCTTTACGTTTCAATGGCACAGCCATCCTCTTCAGAAACTGAAAGTTTATTACAAAATATAAAAAAAAATTTTTTATAAAACTTTAAAACATTTTTAAAAAATAAAAAAATATTTCTTATAAAAAAATAAAATTAAATGACTAAATTTACCTTAAAAAATGAAAACATTATTCAAAAAAAACTTTTTTTGACTAAGTAAATTTAAAAGTGATTAAACGTCTCAATTGACACGATTGCTAATAGACACTGATCAATTACAAAGTAGTATGAAGAAGCGTAGAGTAAATTAGGTTCATTGACCTTATTTCAATAATGTAAATAGAGAAACGTCAAGGTATTATTAGACAGGGATAAAAGTTATGAATATTTTCTATCATTGAGAAAATGGAAGTAACAATTACTGAGATTTTGAGTGTCATCTTTTTTGTTTATTGCATTCTTTTGCAGATTAATATGAATCATTTCGGATATCAAGCGTTTGTTCTCATTTGATTCTCTGTCAAGAATTGAAAAGTTATACCCTTTGATCAGAAAGGGTAAGGACAAAAACAAAAAAACAGAAGTAACTAATGTTGTTTATAAATTAAATTGCAAAAATTGTACCGCATCTTATGTTGGTGAAACAAAGAGAATGGTGGGGGTTCGCGTTAATGAACATAAAAAATCAAAAGTTGGTGTCACTGCTACTCATAGATCAGTGTCTATTAGCAATCGTGTCAATTGAGACGTTTAATCACTTTTAAATTTACTTAGTCAAAAAAAGTTTTTTTTTGAATAATGTTTTCATTTTTTAAGGTAAATTTAGTCATTTAATTTTATTTTTTTATAAGAAATATTTTTTTATTTTTTACAAATGTTTTAAAGTTTTATAAAAAAAATTTTTTTATATTTTGTAATAAACTTTCAGTTTCTGAAGAGGATGGCTGTGCCATTGAAACGTAAAGAATAATGTTTTTATTTTTTATTTAATCCTTGACTCGGAATGATCGATATCATCTTCTTATATTATAAAGTACATTTTAATTTTGAAAAATAAAATCAAGTTGAAAAAATTTTGATGAACAAAATATTTAAACAAAAAGATTCATCGGGTTCACTCTAAAACTTTTTGTAAACTAGTATTAATCAAAAAGAAAATCTATTTGAGCCAATACTGGCTCAATATCGGCTCAGTACTGGTTTGCCAGTACTGGGAGGGTAGTACTACACCAGTACGGATACAATGAAAATACCAGTACTGGTTCAGTACAGACTGCCCAGCCTCGGCAGCCAATACTGAACCAGTACTGCGCCAGTAATCAACTTTGGTATAATACTGAAATTTTTGGTTGGGTTAATATATTATATTTTCTAAGCATAGAAGAAGTTCTCTCATATAAATTTTGTATGTATGGTAAAAAAGCTTTTGGTGATTTTTTATATAGAAATGAGTTTAAATTGTTATTTTTCTGAATATTTGATTTAATTGAGAAAATGCGTTTCTTAATGTATTTATCTATAAAAAAATTGGATAATTATTACGAAGTAAAACTCTTTTAACATAATCTATATTTTTTGAATGAAAAGTCTTATGTAAAAGTTTTATGGCTCTGTCAGTGAATTTATAAATAATAGCAATTTTTTGAGAAATCGGGTGTTGTGAATCATAATTGATCGTTCGTTCTGAAAAAGTAGGTTTCCTGTACCTAATAATAATAAAATTTAACGATTATCGTAATTTTAATATAAATAACAATACACGAATATTACATTAAATAATTCACTATATTTAAATAAGTAAAAATAATGTACCTGACAACTGTTACTTATATTCTTAAATTATTAGCACTTATATTGTTAGTTATTATTGTTATTAACCCCTTAGCAGTCTAGTGAATTTTTTTTTCCTTTTTTGGGTAAATTAACAAATTTTAATAAGCGTATTCGTTCAATTTCAAAAATTTTTGTCGCTAAATTGTATTCGACATTTAAAAAATTTTACTTGGTCATCAAATTTGATATCAGCCCGTGTAGAAATTTATCGTAGCCTTCCTAGAAATAGATTAATGCTAGACAGTATTTGTCGTGGAAATTTATTCTGAAAAAACTGTCCTGGCCCCGAAAAGTAAATGTACAGTTTTTCCTTTATTTTCTTTAATATGAATGCTTGTCTAGAATCTGGCTAAAATTTGTCTAGGACACTGATTTTAAAATTCAGTACAAGTTCGTATAGTAGGTTGTCTAGGAATTAGCCAGGCTCTGTTTAGGATAATGATTGAAGAATTTAGTACAATATGTCGTAGAGAAGGTGGCACTGCGAATTCGTTAATCTAGCAAACGAAATCAGTACTTGACATAGTGCACGGTAAAATCAAACCAAAGGTTTATTATTGTATTATATTTTGTTGTGAAAAAATACCAAATTTATAAATCTAGTGATCAGTTTCCATATTTTTGCATTTTTGAAGAGTGTCAGTGTGCAGGTTAAAATGTACAGCATAAAACAAACATTTATTAGAAAAAGGACACGCGATATGTGTCATTAATAGTCTCAGAGGTTGTCTCTCAAAATATACAATCTTTATATAATAAATAATAAATCTTGACAATTTTGAGTGAATTTTTTGTAATTGCAAGAATATATGTATATGTAATTAGTTATCAATATACAAGTACGATTTTTGTAGTGAATGTGTTTCTGTTTTAAAGAAAAAATCCAATTTAACAAAAATGTATTACAATTAATTTCAAAAATGTAAGAGGAATTGTGTTATTAAGAAACACTTTTGTAATATAATTTATGTTAAACAAACGAAAGAGTAAAATTGAAAAATATTCTTTTATATTTACAAATATCAATTATTCTATGTATAGGTAGAATCTGCTTTTTTATTATCGTGGAACTGGCTAGAATTACTTTATTTTACTAGACAAGGACTAGACAAAAGACCTGTACAAACTCTTGACGTTGCTATAGCGTTACATCCCACGTTCAAGCCTGTCCAGTTTTCCCTTCTAGATGCTAGGTTGAATCTAGCACAACTGGACAGTTTCTCATACATTTCCACGATAAATTTCTACACGGGAGCAACTCCTAAAACTCCCGAACAAAAAAATTTGTATGAATAGTATTTATTATAAAAATAGGTATATTGAATCTGAAATTTTTATAAGTATTATGAGAATCTGGCATCAAATTTGAATATAGCGACTCCACAATCCCCTGAGTAACAAGTTTCCAGCGAATTATGTCAAATTTAAAAATTTTTGGTCGTCATATTGGATTAAACATTTTGAATTTTGTAAATCTGATATCAAATTCGGAATCACCGACTCCAAAAACCTAACACTTAAATCGAATATTAATAATACTTTTTTAATGGCATTTTTGTCATGGCACGTATATACGCACGTGCAATAAAGCGAAGGTGGAGACTGTTAATTATTATTATTATTTATATTTTTTATTGTTATAATTGTTATTACTTTAATCTTAGTAACAAAACAAACAATTATTTTACAATAATAATTTTTGTAATAATAAATAATAATTTTCAGTTCTGTTCAGCAATAATTATTATTACTAAATATGTAACTATTTTTTTTTTATTTCTATTTAATATAAAAATGCTAAACAAAATAAATTTGTCGATATGTTATAGCTAAAAAAATTTTCAATAATGTTCTTACCTTAATCAGAATATTGTTATAAACGCTTTTATTAAGGAAACAATTTTATATTATTGCTACAATGTTATCTTCTAATTTTTGCACACGCAATTAAAAATAATTAACGCGAACTTGTTTGACGAACGTCAAGAAAACAAATGTTACAATGTTACAAATAAACTTTGTTCACTCACCGGTGTACTGAGTGAATTTGCTAAAATTTAAACATTTTTGTAGTATTCAGGTAAAACTTTTAAAAATTCTTTAATCAACAGGTTCTAGTCAACTGGTTTTAAATAAATTTGTTTTTTTTTTATTTACGTTACTAAACATTTATTTAATAGAATAGGAAACATAAATATATTAACCTTTTCTTATTGGTCAACACTATATAAAATTGCGTGTAACTTTTTTTTTTTTTGCAAACAACTATATTTTTGTTATATATAAATGAATTAATATGCAAATGAATAAAACTATTTGATTCAAGAAATGGAAATTCTTCAGACAATATTTTATTATTTTGCTTAATAACCTAATATTCTTGATTGAATACTTTTTGGTACTTCGGGAAAATAAAATATTGGGTTGCGATAATAACATACAGTGCCGCTCAGCAGATTTTGCCCACCTTTGAGAATTTTACGCTTGGCGAAAAGTTTTATATTTCTATATGTGTAATATATGTAAAAAAAAAATTTTTTTTTTTAATTCGAAATATTTTTTTTCTAATTCTATACATAAAAATAGGCATTTTTTATCTTGAAAAATTTTTTTCTAAAGCCAACCGTTCTCGACTTATTACTAATTACAAAAAGTGCTGATTTTCAAAAAAATCAAAATATGTCAAAAAAAAAAAAATTTTTTTTTATGTCTAAATATTTTTTTTCTAATTCTATACATAAAAAGGCACATGTTTCTTCTCAACAATTTTTTTCAAAAATCAATCGTTCTTGAGTTATGACTAGTTGAAAAAAAGTGCAGTTTTTTAAAACAATTGTCCATATCTTTGTTACAAATTATCGTATTAAAGTTTACAAGGAATCATTTTAAAGGTGATAAAATTAGCTTTCAAATGGCTTATCAACGATTAAAATGTGATGACTGGTTTAAAAACTGCAGCGATTTTAAAATTACAAAAAAAACCGGAAATTTTGGATTTTTATTTTGAGCAATTAAACAATAAAAAATTTTTTTTTTAATGTCTGTTTTAGATATCATAAAAGTAGAAGATATAAGCTTTCAAAAAAGTCCTCACTCATTATTATATCTTTATTAGCAACCGAAATATAAAACTTTTCGCCAAGCGTAAAATTCTCAAAGGTGGGCAAAATCTGCTGAGCGGCACTGTATTTACTTCTGCCAAGTACTAAATTTTAATCAAGTTGAAACAAGTATTTATTTCTATTAATCTTTCCATTTTCTTGGATCAAGACTATGAGTATTAGATTAAGTAAAATGTTGTTTTAAAGGAAACAACAAAACGATTTGACCCAAGAAAATAAAATACTCAACGTAAATCACTTGACATGAGAAAATAATATTCTTGACTCAATTCTTTTACTGTTCTTGACGCAAGTAAAACATTTCGCTTAAAACAGTAAGATATATTTACTTGTATGAAACTCATATTTTCTTATTTCAAGAACATTGCTGAACGCTCAAAATTACTTGACTCAAGAAAATAAATTTCTTCCAATAAGAAAATATCGTCTTGTTTCAAGTAAAGTACCTCAAGTAAATGCATTAACTTGATTCAATTAACTTTTTTTTCAGTGTAATTTATATAATAAAATTTACATAATTAAATTATATAAATTAGACGAAACATTAAAAAAACATTTTTTTAGGTTCAAAGCAAGGTTATTTGGCAACCTTGCACCAACCTTGCTACAAGCGTACCTTGCAAGCTTACTGAGCAATTTTTCGGTAAGCTTACCATGCAAGCTTTTGGTCAGGTGGGACATTTGAAGCTTGCCGCAAGGTTGCTGCAACCTTACGTACTATCTGGATTTATTGTCTAAAATATCTTTTCAGAAGACGCCTCTAACAGCTGGGAAAATAGTTTGCGCAATTTTTGCAGTCACACAGTATACACTTTGCTCGTTAATATAGGCACAACGAATAATTTTGCAATAGGGTTTAAATATTTGAATTTTTTTGTCTTTCTTACACGTCACAGCTAATTTTGTGGCAACTGTAGCAAATATTTTAGTTGGTATACAAAATTTTATCAGCAAATACTCATCAGTATCTGTAGCTAATTCATTTTTTTCTGTGTACGTTAAAATTCAAGGGAGGATACAAAAGGTGAAGGGGGTGAGGAGGAATGAGAAATTTATCAGAGTGTGTGAAGGCTGAGAAAAAGGGGGTGTTGTAGGATGCACGATTGGAGATTGCAATTTGCAGAATGGACCTAGGATAACGGTTCCGGAGAAAACGAGTTGGTGCGGCGGAAAGGCGGCAGAATGCAACGAATTCGAAAAGAGTGAGACCAGTGCCTGCATACGTAATGCCATCCTCCATTGTCAACCCGGCGCCAGGTCTCTTTTGTCTAGCGTGGCGCGCGGAACGAGCCGCGGAAAATTCTGATCGTACCCAAACCGTATCGATCTTCGACCGATCATTTGCATGCTCATTGTTCGCCCATCCAACGAAATTCCGCGGGAACAATATTCCCTGCAGTCGCGATGGTGCCAAACGCTTTTCCAAAGATTCACCAGAGCACAGCGCTATATAGTCTCGTTCTGCATATTGAAATAAGGTCTCAGGCGGCACGCCTGGTACCCCAATAATCGTTTCCTGTCATTATTGAAACCCCTTCCTGCTTCTTTCTTTTTCTTCTTCTTACTCTCTCATCAAAAATTCATTTCTGTTATAAATTTATTTAAATAATTAAACATAATTAAAAATTAATTTACATAGGATAACTGATACAAGGACATTTTTTACAAAAAAGCGATTAGTCGCAGTCAGAAGAGGGAAAAACGCGTGTTTTTTTGGGAATTTTTTTTTTCTACATTATATGTATATTTTTTTCTAAGCATTTTTGCATTCAAAATTCTACAAAATTTTAATGAAGATGATCTTTAAAAAGCGTTTTGCGGAATCAAAATTCTACTTTCATTAAGAATTTTTTAGGAAATGAGTCGAATAAAATAATTTTTATTTGAATTAAATAAACTGTATTTGTTTAAAATACATAAATGACTGGTTCAAATAGAGTTTAATTAATTCAATTAAAAATTATTTATTTCAAGTAAATATTTATTTGATAATAGTCAAGTAATCCATTATTTGAATTAAATAAATTTTTTTTTTATTTTCAATATACATAATATATAGAGAGACAAACCAGATTTGGACATAAAATGTGCCCCACCCCCCTTTCTCTCTCTGTCTTTCATATATAAAATTGTACTGGGAAATGTGATTTACGTCTCGTTACTCAAATTCTAGTCTTTCTAAATTAATTCGAGCATCGAATTCATATTCGCTTGCCGCGACAATAGGTAGAGGTGACCATGCAAAAGCCTCGGTTGTGGACTGGAACATATTTTTATGTCATCACGCTAGGCAACGATGGTATTGTTGTTGCCGAGACAATGGCAAATGTGGCGGAAAAATTGCGGAGAAAAGGTATTCGCTCTCTCACTTTCTATATATACATATATATACATATATATATATGTGTGTAAAATACTGATGACCAGGGGTGCGAGGCACCTTTATTCGCAAATGCGCAAAAATGGGTTTGCCAAATCTCATACAATTATTTGATCAACGCTTTCTGATGCTTTTATTTTTTCTGCTCTTGATTTGAGAACGCTCGATATCTTTATTCCATATTTGTTGCATTCAAAATTTTCTCTTTCAAATTTGGTTCACGGAAGGAAAAAGAATAGAATTCACTCCCGATAAAAATTTCGCACCAAAAAACAGATGTAAAAACTCAATAACACATATAATATATACACATTAAAATACACATCTAATACATTGTGCGATAAGGTAAAAATATATCCATATATATATAAGTTTGATAAAGGTGTTAATAAATATAATAATCAAATAAAATTTTAAAATGGAAGCAAGAGTAGATTTATATATATATATATATATATATATATATATATATATATTATATATGAAAGAAAAATGGAAGAGGAGAGAGACGGTAGCGACTACAATTAAGCTGGTCTGTCCGTGGCTGAGTTGTTCCATTGAGAGAATTGGCTTGCCCAGGCAACCAACTATCGGGCAGAATTGAGAGTCTGAGAATAGAAGAGCGGGGGTTTTGCAGATTATCAAGCATCAGTTGCTGGGAAGAATAAGCAACCGCCAACCGTCATTTAACTTTAACGCTCCAACTACCCCCTTTCAACCCCCTGGCAACCCTCGAGGACCAACGTCGGTCCAGGCTAATTAAATCTGCCTATGTATTCTCCTAACTTTCACCCCTCTCCTTGATCACAAATATACCTTATATTTCTTTTAGTTTGTACTGAATTCTGTTACCTCTCTCCTTTCGCCCCCACGTTTCTTCTTTTTCATATAAAACAAAAGAGTCGATCATTTTTTTTTCTACAAATTTACACGAGTATTTCTTTTTATTTCTTTAACTGCTTTTATTTATATTATTTAAAAATGATATTAACTTAGTTTTTAAATTTTCTAAATTTCTTTTATTTGCTGATGATTAAAAAATATTTAAGGTGATTTCCTGCGTTCAGGACCATAAAGATTTACTATCGGATCTTGAGCAGCTCTATGAATGGTCTTTAAGAAACAATCTATTTTTTAACTTAAAAAAATGTAGTGTCATTTCATTTCATAGATCTGTTGAATTTTCTGATTATAAATACACTATTGGTAATGAAGAGCTTACCAGAGTACCTTTAATACGTGATCTTGGTGCACTGATTGATTGTAAATTTTTTTTTACTGATCACATTAAATATACTGTAAATAAGGGCACCAGAGTCTTGGGCTTCATCACCAGAAATTCCAAGCGCTTCAAAAAACATTAATGTTTGTATTTCTCGTTGGTTAGACTGCTAAAGTAAGTTTGCTATAATACTATGGCGACCGTATCAGGACGATCTTATGGTTTTAATTGAGCGATTTCAAAACAAATTTTTGCGTTTTGTTTCCAAACAGCACGTAAGCTTGCAGCAACCTTGCGGCAAGCTTCAAATGTTTCCCGAAAGATTGCACAATAAGATTATCGCAAGA